CGCCGGTCTGGACTCTTGTTTTTGTCTAAGATTTGATTATTTCCAATTTTCTTATGTTCGAGATTTGGACCAGCCTGTGAGTGTGACCATTATAGAGGCAAAATCAATGATTTCAATTTTCAACCCTAAATCATGCGGGCTTTTTTTTTTTTTTTAAAAAAAAGTGCAATTAACTACATGATTAGTGGTGTACTTTACTAGAATCAAAAGTGAAAAATCTTCCTAAATTTTTTTAAAATTTTGTTTACAAACTAATATTTTATGCGATAATAAATAATTTGATATTTGAAATATGATTTGCTTAAATAGGGATTGGGAAGACTGATGTATACATGCACAGCAACCACTGTTGCACACTTAATGGAGTCTTTTTTGGCTTTCATTCTGAGGATCCGAACCGTTCACTATTTAGAAGACATTGAATAGAATATACCTGTAAAAATTCAAATTAATCGAAGATCAATATCTTTTTTATCTAGACATATTTGTATCTATAAAATTGAATGGTAAATTTAATTTTAAGTATAAATATGAATACAAACACGTCTTGATGGAAGGGATACCCAAGTCCGATTAACTTGAATTTTTGCGTGCATATTCTACTCAATGTTTTCTAAAAATTGAATGGTTCAGATCGTCGAAATGAAACCCGAAAAATGCCTCATTAACTGCGCAATAGTCACTGCTGCGCATGATGCGCTGCAGCCTCCCCAAACTGACTCAAATAACATGACAACAGTTTCATCAATCTATATACTATTATAATTGCAAAACATTATCTTATTAAGGCTGAATGCTGCAATTTTTTTTTTCATTTTTTTTATTTTGTTTAATTTTTGTTAATATGTGTCACAATATAATTTGCCTATAAATTAATTTTATATTCTTAAAATAAATTTTAAATATAGATTTTTACTTAAATTATGTTACCATAATTGGAATAAGATCAATATTCATTCCTTAATTTACACATCCTTTATTAAATTATAAAATAAAATTTTAAATTTAAATTATCTTTAAATTATGTTACTACAACTAGAATGAGATCGATATTCATATGTAGCATAATAATGTGTCATAATATTATTGGTCTAAACCTAATATGTTATTAATCGCTATTAGAAGTTTATATTTTTATTTTTTTGTCATTTTGGTTTTAAATTTTAATTTTTTTTTTCTATCCTTCTAAAGACTTGAACAATAATTTTTTTTAATACAAATATTTTTTTTAACAAAAGACAAAAACATTAAGAAAATGAATGATTTTTTTAACGCTTCCCAAACATGATGGATTCTGTTAAATTTTTGTATCTCAATTGTCAATTAAACAAATTAAAATAAAAAAATAAAATTTTTTGGCTTAAATAGTTGAGAAGTAACTTTTGTTAAAATCAAATATAAATAAACATAATATTTCTATTAAAAGTAATGGTTAGTGAAACTTATTTTTTCTTATACAATAAAAATATGGGAGTTACACATGATAATTTATTATTCTAACAATGGTACAAACCCACATTTTCCAACCACAATAATGTGGCAAGGGAGTTGGGCCCCATATCATTGAATGTATAGCTAATCAAGAGTTAACACATATGATATCAATAATGTTTGTAGCTCGACAAATTTGGCTCGAATTGGCTCGAAAGAGTGGACTCACGTGCGGTCTTTATCTCTTGTATCTCAAACCCCCATTTCTCTATCTCTCTACTTCTTTATCTGTCTACACCCAAAGTATGATCTCCTTCTCTCTCCTCTCAAGTCTGAAACTCTCCTCTCCACCTGAAACCCTGTCGCCGTTTACCCTCCCTCATCCGAATGCCCCTCCAACGCAGACATCCGACTCTATACTCTGCTCATTCTCCTTTGACTTGGTGGTCATACGCTGGTCATTATCCTTCGACTAGGTGGTCAGCGGGACACTTCTCTCATTCTCCTCTCGTTCGACTATGTTCATCCGACTCCTTTCACTGATTGAAACTTGTCATACGTCGAATTACCGACTAATTGAAAACGAATCGCAGGTACGTCCCGACATCGCTAAACTAGGGTTTCAAGATTCAAGAAATTGGGGTTTCGTGTTTGGTTTCTCAATTGGTTTGATTTCTAGTCTTTAGGTTATAGAGTTAGTTCTTGTGGGATGTTCAAATTAATTGTGGTGATGTGCTTGTTCGGATGTTCATTTCCAGACATTTATTTATTTTGTTTTATGCTGAAATTTTCCCCGATGATTGTTGCTGCTACATATTGGTTTATTGGTGAAGTTTTTCCCCAAGAATGTTTGCTACTAACATCCTGTTTTGCCACTGAATTTGTTGCCACTAATGTTCTGTTGCTACATGTTGGTTTGCTTCGTATGTTTGGTCAAGAATTTATGGTGGTAAACATTGTTTTGCTGCTAAAATTTTTTTTGGCAATCCATGTCAATTTAACAACTTTACATTTCTCCAACTCATATCTTCCTCTAAAAACTGTTAATGATCTTCTTCACCTTTGTTTGGCTTTTTAATTGGTGGTTCCATATTTCTTTCTTACTGCTGCATCCTTGTAGTACAATTACTGATTCATAATTACATTAACAGTTCTTGGGGGTATTTAGTATGGATGTAATTACTGATGGTTTAGGATTTTGGGGTATTTAGTTTTGATGGTTTGGCAAGTTCAAATAGCTGGAATCAGTAGTACAATTTTGGGCTTTGCAACTGAGAAGTCATATTGAATAGGCAAACAAGGCTTGTGAAAAAGAAATGGTGAAAAATAAATACATTGTCAAGCACCTCTTATTGAATAGGCAAACACTAGGAATCCATCTTTTTGAGTGTTTTGGAAATGCAAGTGAAAAAGAAATTGTTTTAGCCTAATCACTTCAGATTGCATAGAAAAATATTGAGGAAATGGTGTAAACTTTAGTTGTTACTAAGTTGCATCTGTGCTGCACAGTGTAGCGAATCCTTTTGAATTTCCAAAGCCCTAAGACTGCAGGAAAGGCGAAACATGAAAGACCAAGAATCACGATTGAGTAACACAAAGAAGAGTTTGGCATCATAATCTGATTTTTATTTACAGGATTCCTAGTGTTTGTTTCCTTTCTTTCTTATTTGCAGTAGAGTATAGTTGAATCATCATCTTCTACTAATAGGTAAAACAGCTTGAGAGATAAAAAAAATAGGAAGGACATCATCTTCTACTAATCGGTAGTTGAATCTGTTGGTATTTTTTATGCAGATGAAAAAATGGTTTCATCTTCTACTAATAATACGAACATAAGATTAAAGCCAAGGTTTTGTAATTGTGGAAGAACAACTTCCATACGTATAGTACGAACCAATCAGAATGGAAATGAAGGACGTGTCTATTTTGTTTGCCCAAGAAAATATATAAGTACCTGTTATATAAATGAATCTGTTACTTTTTACAAATTTCATTTGTCCTTTATTGATTAACTGATTCTTGTCCATTGTAGACTGCGAATGAACACTGTAATTACTTTAGGTGGTTTGCAGATAACGACGATGACGACGACATTACCTCCACAATCCAAGCCAATAATGGACTTCAGACAGATCCAAGAACAGAAAAAATTAATGATCTACGGAGAAGGGTTGGTGAGCATGATAGAAGGCTTCAAAGGATGGAGAAAATGTTCAAGGCAATGACTTATGTCATTGTATTTTGTGTATTTTTGTACTTTATCATGTAAATGACTCAGTTGTTAGGTTTTGGAACATGCTATGAATGTAATCTATTTTTCTAGTAATTTTTTTTTTTTTTTTTTTTTTAATTTTTTTTTTTTTTTTTTTTTTTTGTGCTTATGCTTAAAAATCTGATGGTTTGAAAAAACAAGTGTATAACAGGTTTGTTTGAGATGAAATGTGTTGAATGAACAGTGTGTGAAATCTGTTGAATTATGTTGGTTGCTTAACAGTGTGCATTATATGTGATGGTTTGAAAAAACAGATATATTGATTAATAATGTATTGACTTAACAGGTGCTTCACAGTGTATCTTTTTAGACAATGGTTGAACAGGTTCAATTTAAATGTGTTGAATGAACAGGTTGAACAGGTTGAATAACAAGGTGTTCAATGAACAGGTTGAACAGGTTGAAGGTTGATTAACAGGTTCTTCAATGATTAACAAGTTCTTCAGGTTGAAGGTTGATTAACAGGTTGAAGGTTGAAATCTGATACTATGAACTTGGCATGAAATCTGTTGATTAACAGGTTCTTGAATGATTAACAGGGTCTTGGGAAAATCTGTTGAATGAATGAGACAATGTTGAAAAATTTGTTGAATGAATAAGAGGGTCTTGAATGATTAACAGGGTCTTGATTAATGGGACAATGTGGGAAATCTGTTGAATGAACAGAACCTTGCTTAACAGTGTGCATTGTATGTCATGGTTTGCAAATGACTCAGGTGTATTGATTAACAATGTATTGAATGAACAGGTTGAATGTATTGAACAGGTTGAACTTGACAATGTGCGAAATTTGTTGAATGAATAGGGGCATTTATTAATAGTGTATATGACGGCATACTAATAACAGTGTATTGTATGTGATGTTGAACAATCTGTTCATGGTTTGCATTTATTAGCAGGGTCATTTCTTAACAATGTGTATGGTTTGCATTGTATGTGATGGTTTACAAATAACTCAGGTTTATTAATTTTTTTTCATCACAACAGATTATTCTGGTTGGTTTTATCTTCATGCTGCTTATGACATTATTTCTGAGAAAACTTCATCTTGGTCTACAACACACTAATGATTCCAAGCATCTATGCCACTATTGAAAGCCAAAACCAGCAAACTCTGTTCAGATGCAGGACACTATAGGCTGCAGAATACTGTAATGCAAGACATTATAGTAGCCTTTCAGCAATATCACCCCACTCCAGCCGGCCCAACAGTGCAAAGATGAACATCAAACTAGCAGGCAGGTAACCCAGCAATACCAGAAGCAAACATGGCACACTTCACAGAACAGATTAAACATCAATCCATCAGTAGCAGCAGTAGCCCTGTTGAAGAACTCAAAATACCAGCAGACAGCATAGGAAGGATCACAGCAGCAAAATGCCACTGCTCATCAACACTACATTGGACTAGTTGCACCACAGCAAAACACATCCTTTAGAGCATAATCACCAGCAGATTTGCAGAGACCATTTCTAACAGATTTCATTCAATCACCAACAGATTTGCAGAGACCTTCTAACAGATTTCATTCAATCACCAACAGATTTGCAGAGTTCACTTTCTCACCAATAGATTTCATTCAATCACCATTTCTATAGAAACATAATGACAGTCATAGTGACTAACAGAACCATTTGTACAAAACCATTGGTGCAGAAATTGCTTGAGAATCAAAAATAACAAAAAATTGCTTCAGAATAAAAAATAACAAAAAATAACAGAACCATTTCTAAGAATAACAAAAAATTCCCAAATCATTCAACTCAAAAATACGAGACATTCACTTCATTGAACTCAAACGTATGGGACATTCAAGTGAACAATCGAAAGTTTACAAATGAAATTCACGTACAATTACCATTTCGAAATTAAAAAAAAATGGGACATTCGGATCCCCGTCGATGTTCAAGTCAACAAAATATGACGGTACTATCGATCTTTGACAGCTAATATTGTTGACCATTCCAGCTTCTTGGTGAGATGTGCTCCCAATGTCATCCCCACTTATGGTAACTGGTGCCTGTAAAAATAAAGTAAATAATAATAACAAAATTCCACAAACATATTCAGGGAAAGGGTCTACTATGGCATCGACAAACAAAGTGCAATATATTAAGTTCGTTGAACACATACCGGTACAAGGAAATGGTTTGGTATGGCATCCATAGAAGGACGATAGTAATGTTGACTTGGCGACACCTAATGATGAAATAGTAACACAAGTAAATTACTAATTTCAAGCAGTAAAATGAAAAGGCAAAACACAAAACCCCAAACAACCTTCATATTTAACACGTACCGGTTCATACATGGTGTGTTGCACGCTTCCCATACAAGGAAAGCTTAACTTACGAGGTTCACCTTGACGCACCTTCTTATTCTTTCCCTTCAACCAATTAACTATTGCATCAACCTTGCTAACCTTTCGTTTCGTACATGGACGACCTCTTCGGCAAGCAACCAAAGGACTTCGTACCTTGCGAGTCATGCTTTCTTTTGTAGTATTGATACGAGGCGGACTTTTTGGTGAAGTATGGGAAGGTGGTAAAGTACTACTTGAAGGTAATAAAGTACTAGTACATGGCACATTACTCGCACTACTTGATTGAACTGTTCTCACTTCATCCTTCATTTTCATCAACCCAAGTTGAATCACTTTGTGTTTAGCATCATCATTGGTAACAAGATCTAGGATCTCATCCAACGTGTTGTGATAGTTATCATGCAACTTTGGATGTAAAGAAGAGCCAAAGTTAATATATGTGGTTAGAATGCATGTGTAGCCTCTTTCCAAGTCTTTTCTCCATCTCGAAACAATGTATTTAGTTGGCACCTCATATATGGATCTCTCAATAAGCACAGAAAATGAATGTGCACACATAATACCTCTAAACTCAAACAACTGACACATACATTGGAGCTCACATTTAGTTGAATTAAAGTACACAACAAATTTTACTTTTTTCATCCCCTCACCCACAACAATAGCCTCCCTCACATGATAGGTACAAATTGGTCCCTCATTTTTTATAAGATTTGCACGACAATACACTAGACGCTTCATTTCTAGTTGAACTTCTTTAAATTTGTAATTAGTGTAAGCTGCACGAAATTGCTTCTCAAAACGATACACCGTTAAGCAATCATACAATTTGTTACGAGACTTAAAATCTGCTTTTGTCTCCTTCTCTACCTAACTTCTCAACGCATTGTCATATTGCTCAACAAATTGCTTCAAGGTTGTCTTGGAGTTCACATATCCATCAAAGAATGCATTCATACTCTCACTTCATTGTGTAGTTGACTTGCCAGCCCAAAATATGTCTTTAACATAGGCAGGAATCCACCTATGTTGCTCACGGTGTAATACCCCCAACCACTTGTTATCATTCAAATTGAAATTTTCAATCATTGCTTCCCAGTATTCCTCAAATTCATCTATTGTGAATGAATCATAAACTGCATTACTGAAAGCAACCTTAATGGACTCATATTGCGAATATCCTCTCAATTTCTCAGAAATTTTCTTCATAATATGCCATAAACACCAACGATGCCGAGCCTGTGGGAAGACAATTTCTATGGCATTTTGCATAGCTCTGCACTGGTCAGTTATTATCGTTTTTGGGGGAGCATCTGACATGCAACTTAACCATTCTTTGAATAGCCAAACAAAAGTCTCCGTGTTCTCATTACTTAACAACCCACAACCGAACAAAATTAATTGTCCATGGTGATTAACTCCTACAAACGGAGCAAATGGCATGTCATATTTGTTTGTCAAATAGGTTGTGTCAAAAGAGACAACATCCCCAAATGCTTTGTAAGCCACCCTACTCCTTGCATCCGCCCAGAACAAGTTGTGCATGCAACCATCTTCATCAAGGTTAATTGCCGAATAAAAGTTTGAATTTTGTTGTTGCATTTTATAAAAATAATGTGTAACTGATTCGGCGTCTCCTACCCCAAGTCTCAACCTTCTAGCATTGTTGATATAATTCCTTGCATCTCGTTCATCAAACATTAATGCCTCATATCCCCCCGCTTCAACAACTATGGAATGAAAATTCTTAGCTAACCCAATCCCTGCTGCATCATTAACTTCTAGTCTCCTATTCACCGGGTAACAATCCTCTTATTCATTGCAAAATGCCGTGAGTCAGTAGCAACCAAATCATGAGTGTGCTCAAGCACAACTGTGGTTAACTTATATGTTCTATCCTTTTGTAGACTGGCTCTTACCCTTGCTTTACACTCAATTTTTGATGACAAAGATGGTTCCAAGGGATTTATTTCTAATCTTTTTGTTCTGTTCCGCACCCTAGTGCATTCAATTCCAAAGTACTTAACTTCCCCATCACATGTTAAATTTTGTGTTCTATAAGCTATAGCAAATCTCGAGTATTGGGCATATTTTGCATAACATGTGTACACCTCTTCCTTTGAGCTAAAATACATTCCCTACTTAGGTTCTTCATAAAATGCGTACACCTCTTTTTTTGAGCTAAAATACATTCCCTTCTTAGGTTCTTCAACTTCTTCTTCTTCAACTTCGTCATCTTCACACTCATTAAATGAAAGACTGTTATCTTTTTCTTCAACTTCGTCACTCCCATTGAAAAAATTATTGTTCGAATCAATATCCATTGTACCTTCAAAGTTAAATAGAATACAAAATTTTAGAGTACAAACAATTATCTTTATCTAATGCTATGGAATCAAATAAGGAGACATGTGAAGCTAACATATTGCAATTACAGACAACATCTCTGTGAACAAGTTGAATTAAAACAAACAAAGAAAAAATAATTCAAGAAAATTCATGACAACTGTACATTAGATAAAGAAAATTCAAGACAACTCTACATCCGAACAATAATTTTTTCAATGGCTTTGGCTTTGATATTGATTCGAACAATAATTTCTTTTGCAATTACAGACAAAAATATCTGGATTTGAGTTGCATCTGAACAAACTTAATTTGTATGGACTTATGTGACTTGAGTGATTAAGTGGCTTGAACACCCAAAAGTGATTAAGTGACTTCAACACCCAAAAGTGATTAAGTGACTTCAACCAAACATATGTTCAGACTTAAAATGTTCAGACTTAAACACCCAAATGTTCAGACTTAGAAACATATATTTGAGCATTATATTTGAGCATGATATATATTTGAGTGACTTGAACCAAACAGATTCGTTATCTGAAAGTGATTAGTCAATATTTGAGTGACTTGAACCAAACAGATTGCATGTATAAAAAGCTATTTGAAAGTGAATTTGTATGATTATTAATAGATCCCATATCAATATTTGATTCAAGTAAGCTTGCCTTTGATTCAAGTCACTCTCAAATAATCAATATTTGAGTGACTTGAACCAAACAGATTCAAGTCACAGCCAAACGAATCTGTTTCTATGGACATGATATATATAAACGAAAATAGAGTGGATTTGCACACTCAAAATTCTGTTAAAAAATACAGTGGATTTGTAGAGAAATTATATATCACCCTAATTCTGTTAAAGAATAGAGTGGATTTGCGCACTCAAAATTCTGTTCAAAAATAGAGTGGATTTGTATAGTGGATTGAGCATGATATATAATCTATTCTTGAGCATGATATATAATCTCCTCTTCACACTCAAAATTCTTGAACCGAATCATATATATAAACTAGAGTGGATTTGCAGAGAAATAGAGTGGATTTGCACACAAGGGAAACAAAAATACAATACAAACAGATTCAAATGACGAGCAAAGAACTGAAAAGGGAAACAAAAATACCAGTCAAGACTCCTCTTCTTCAACTATGGACGACACAATAACAATAGCTTCCGACACCCACGGCAGCAACAGCAACCCAGATCGAAAATGTACAGTGCCGCTAGGTTACAAATGATACATTGCTCCTCTCATTGTGCAACCCAGATCGCTGCTCTCACTGTGTCTTTCTTTTTCGTTCTTTTTTTATTGTTTTGCCACCAAATATGATGCTTGGCTGTGATACTTCATTCAATTCAAGCACACGCCAGCAGAGGATAAAAAATAACATTCGGGCCACTCTCGAGCCACAACATTTGAGTTACGAATCGGAATTGCATATGATATCATATCATTATAGGTGCAATTGTGAGTATTTTTTGTGGGTCTCAAACATTTTCTTCGTTGAGTTCAAAAAAACATTTTCCTTATTGTTCATCTAAATATTTTTTTGCACTTGCCAAATACGATGGATCTTATTAATTTTTTTTAATCTCAAATGTCAATTAAAAAAATTAAAATAAAAAATATTTTTTTTGCTCAAATTACTAAAAAGTGACTTTTGCTAAAACAAATAAAAATAAATGTTATTTTTCTATTAAAAGGGATGATTTGTGAAGTATCTTTTTTTCTTAAAAAAGATTAGGATTATGGGTGATAATTTATTGGTCAGCTAGAGTTATTTTAAGATCAAATGACAATACCATTAAAAAAAAAAAATTTCTTGTCTTCTTCTTTTTTTTCTTTTTTCTTTTTTTTATCTAGATACTTTATTTTGTAAGAAATTTAATTTTATTATATGAAAATTATTTTATGCCATTATAAAATGTAATTTTTGTAAGGATAAATCACAATTATAGTCCCTAAAGTTTAAAACCTTTTTCGTTTAAGTCCCTAAAGTTTCAATTTTGTCAATTGAGTCCCTAAAGTGTTAAATTCAAATCAATTTAATCTTAATGACAACATAAAAATAGAACATAAGTCTAAAGGTTATATAAAATTGTGATCATACCTAAATTTTAATTTATTGTTAACTCAATTATTATCTGCACGTGTGTTTTTATAATTGGTATATTTCTCTCAGACTTAATTTTAATTGCTTATAAAGATCTTCTTCTATTTCTATTCTGCTATTATTTATTTCTTCTAATATACAATTATCCATTTTATTTGATTTTTCAACTATTTCTAATATTATTTTATATTTTATTTCATTATATTTTTCTTGTTCTGCCATTATTTATAATTCGTCTAAACTATAATTACTTAGATCCATTTTTTTTCATTTTTTTGTGGTATTAATTTAAAAGATTATCTTGGCGAGTTTCTCGGTAAGGATAAGGATAATTATCCGTATTATTTTGTACAAGAGCTAACTACCTACCTTTATCTAATAATAAATATCGAATTTCATGTATAATTTTGAATTGATTTCCCTTAAGATTTTTCTTAAGTTCTTTTAATAACTTGATTATTGTATTATTTTGTTCAATAATTATATGTAGGGCAATACTATTATTTAAATTATTTTATTTGGCTTCTTCAGTGTATTTAATGCTCATATATTAATATTGGAAAATTTGAGAAACCAAACTCTGATATCAATTTTAAAACACACGTGCGGAGGATAATTAAGTTAACAGTAAATTAAAATTCGAGCCTGATAACAATTTTATATAACCTTTGGGCTTATATTTTATTTTTATATTATCTTCAAAACTAAATTTATTCGAATTTAATACTCTAAGAATTTAATTGACAAAATTGAAACTTTAGAGACTTAAATGAAAAAAGTGTTAAACTTTAGGGATTATAGTTGTAATTTATCCCTTTTTTTTTAATATCCTATGATCCCTTTCGAAAATGTGTGTTTTTTAAACATAAAAAAAAAAAATTCTTCTGAAAAAACTTAAGCGTATTGCTTTTACTTTTGTTCATTAATATTAAAATTTTAATTAATCTTATTTATTATTAAAATAAATAAATTAGCAAATAATTTCATATATTTATATATATAATTTTGTTTCGATTACTCAAGTTATTTGGTGTCTCTATCCAAATCCACTCAAATTTATTCGAATTTTTAAATTTTACATAGGTCATCACCGAATTAAAAATTATGTTGTCCAATCTTTAAAAAATTTCAGGATTGACTCGAGTTGTTTGGGTTGCACTCACCCGAGTTTACAACTCTAGTGAGAGAGTTAAAAGTTACATGATTGAAGTTGTAACAAATTTAAAATTAATACATAAATTGTGAAACTTAAATTGCAAGTTTCAATATTTTTTTATTTTCATAATTTATATATAAAAATCTAACTATTTATATTATTTTATACAAAAATATTTTATTAATTTTTTTTACAGGTTTTCACTAGTTTTAATAATGTGAATTTTGTTCTTTAGTATAGTTTTACTCTTTGAGAAACTCTAGTGACATGCTACAATTGTCAAAGGCAAATTATAACTAGATTTCTCAAAAACTCCACAACAACATTCTCCCAATGCTCATGTCAAATTATAAAGTATTGTCAAATTTTGACTCAATTTTACATAAAATCTGGTAGTTACTAAAATTTGGCAATTTTTTTAAAACTTATCTAATAACTATTAATAAACCCATGCTATTTATAGAATTTAAAAAAAAAAATACCAAAACTTAAAAATTATGAAAATAACTTATCAATTTTATATGTTTGAACTAAACACTAATAATGTGACTTGTACACAATTTTAATAATATCCTACATAATTTTAAAATAAATATTAAAAGTTGATTGTATTAAAACCCAGTAACTTGCAATGAAAAAAAATAAAATAAAGTTCTAATATGAACATTCTAAAGTAATTCTTTTGTGCTTAAAATATTGCCAAGGGGCTACATCGATTGAAGAGTTCGGTGAGAAATGAAATAAATGGAGAAAAATATGATTTTGTCACTTGTTTAAATCATTAACAAGATAAGAAAAAAAAGAGAAAGCGATATCTCTTGAAACTTCTCTTATGTTTGTCACCATAATTGGTAAGAGTAGGTCAAAAACAAAAAGTTGTTGTATACAATTTATTTATTTTTTAAATACCTAAATTGTCAATCTAAATTTTAAGAAATTAAAAAGACAAATATCTCCTCTTTTTATTTCTTGTTCATTGATAAAAAAGAATGAGAAGTCACAATCTATTCTCACGTGAGAAATCATAATATTAAATAATACATGTGAATATAGCAAAAGTTTTAGGGGGATGCACCAATAAATCCCAAATTAATAACTTATGCACTGTTTAGTCCTAAAAGTTTTCTTATAGACTGAAAGGTCCCATTACAATGTTAATAACATCAGATACAATGTTAATAACATCAGAGTCATGTTACAAACATTAGATTTCAAACATATAATGTTCATCAAATTTCAATAATGTTTGAAAATATAGGATGAAAAACATCTAATGTTCATCAGATTTCAATAAATTTTGAAATTATAGAATGAAACATCAGATCATTTACATCATTCACATCATGTTGATGTAAAAATGGGACTAAATGGAGCATAAGAAAACTTAGGACTAAATGGTTCAACGTTTCAAAAACTAGGACTTATGGGTAAATTTTCCAAAGTTTTATGTGTAAATGAAAAATGTTAGTTTTAAGATATGGCACAAATTAATTTTTGAAAAATGAGATAGATAATTTATATAATCAATGATAATGAGATATGTGTATCAAAAACTTTACAAATTAAAAAAAGATAAAATACACTGACCACCTCTAAGGTTAAGAAAAATACAAGAAGTCTAATTAAAAAAAAGCTTTTCCTAAAATTGTGGTACAAACAAAAACCCACTAACATGGATGGTTTTGATTGGTTATGATTTGCCTTTGGCTTTGTCAGCCCATGAATAAACCAATTAAAATGAATCTCGTTAGTGGACATCAATTTCCATTTATGCAAGAGTATCAATTTCCATAATTTAATTATGAATCAATCAAATTCGCACTTAGTATT